AAATCTGGGGACCTGTATTTTGTGGTATAATTATTCGTTGAAAAACATTGTATCACAATTCATATAAAGTTAATAGATTTTTATTTTTATTGAAATCAATTATATAAATTATTTCTGCTACTTCTCGGGGTAAAAACAGGCGTGAACTTTTATGTTGTCGATATCAAGTCAATGCTGTTTTGTAACTTTTGTATCTTGTATTCAAGTGTGAAACTTTAAGTTAAATGTGTAATGTTTTTTGACTTGTCCTTGTTGTATTATTTACGCAATCAATAAATTCGTCAAAATTGTCCTTGTTTTAGTCAAAATTAAAGCACCGAAACATTTTTTTATTTGCACAGAAAACACCGTTTTCTGAGCATTGACCTCAATATTTTAACCGGTTACTTCGCTTCGAATGTTTCGGGTCAGGCGAAACAGTTGTATCTTTCACCGTGTCATATCGTGAGGATGGGGGGTGTCCAAACCCATTAATTTGAGGCTCCTATAGGGCCTGGGGAGGGTCCCCCCATCAACCCATTCTCACCCATTTTATCAGCGCCCAATTTTAAATGGTAATTTTTGTTAAGAAACAAGTATAGTCACCAGCTGTTCTTTTGAAGACGACATTTATGTTAAATTTACTACAGTATGTCCTAGTAACTTTATAAGCCAACTAGATGATTCTAGTTGATTCTAGTTGGTGATTCTAAATGGCAACTAGAATCTCGTCCCTTTCTAGGAAATTATTCTGACGCTCCTTGGGCCAAAACTAATTGTGTATGATCTGCATGATATTTGTATAATTGTGTTTGGTATCGGTCCATTTTAATTGAGTATACAAAAACAGAATTATACTCCATTCCGGAAGGGCAATATAATATCCGGATTCAGCGAGGCGAACGCTAGGCTTTGTTTTGTATGCCAGCGCCACCTGTCGGCCACACCTGCTCGGCTTCATCATTCTAAATTAGTTGTTTTTAATTAAGGATTTCAGAGACGCAATTGGAGATATGAAATGATTTATTCATTTTAAGGAAAAAGAGTTTGGGATGATATATACTGTGGGCTTTGGGCCACATATGTGCAGTGTGTGTGTGTGTGTGTACTCACCTATTTGTACTCACCTATTTGTGTCTGCAGGATCGAGCATTGACTCTTAGATCCCGTCTTTCCAGCCATCGGTTGTTTACAGCAATGACTCCGGTCATATTTCCCTATCATACCTAGTTTTAAAAATTATGAATAGAATTTGCTTCCACAACCTGCTCCATTTTTCCACTACTCTCACGCTAAAAGAAAACTTTCTAACATCCCTGTGACTCATCTGAGTTTCCAGCTTCCACACATGTCCCTTCGTTCTGTTACTATTCCGTGTGAACATTTCGTCTACGTCCACTCTGTCAATCCCCCTGAGTATTTTATACGTTCTTATCATATCCACCCTCTGCCTTCTTCTTTCTTGTGTCGTAAGGCACAGTTCCTTCAGGCACTCTTCATACCCCATCCCTCGTAACTCTGGGACAAATCTCGTTGCAAACTGCTGAACCTTTTCCAGTCTCCTTATGTGCTTCTTCAGGTGGGGACTCCATGATGGCGCAGCATACTCTAAGACTGGCCTCACGTAGGCAGTGTAAAGCGCCCTAAATGCCTCCTTACTTAGGTTTCTGAATAATGTTCTAACTTTTGCCAGTGCAGGTGTGTGCCTAGCCATCATTGTTGCCAGTGCAGGTGTGTGGCTAGCCATCATTGTTGCCAGTGCAGGTGTGTGGCTAGCCATCATTGTTGCCAGTGCAGGTGTGTGGCTAGCCATCATTGTTGCCAGTGCAGGTGTGTGGCTAGCCATCATTGTTGCCAGTGCAGGTGTGTGGCTAGCCATCATTGTTGCCAGTGCAGGTGTGTGGCTAGCCATCATTGTTGCCAGTGCAGGTGTGTGGCTAGCCATCATTGTTGCCAGTGCAAGTGTGTGTGCCTAGCCATCATTGTTGCCAGTGCAGGTGTGTGGCTAGCCATCATTGTTACCAGTGCAGGTGTGTGGCTAGCCATCCTTGTTGCCAGTGCAGGTGTGTGCCTAGCCATCATTGTTACCAGTGCAGGTGTGTGTGCCTAGCCACCTGAATTGCCTCCCCTGGTGCGTGCAGAGACATCATAGTTACCAGCGCCGGTGTGTGTGTGTGTGTGTGCCTAGCCGTCATTGTTGCCAGTGCAGGTGTGTGTGACTGGCAACAGTGAGGGGGAGACAAATGAGTCTCCGCGATACACTAATGGAAGACCAAACACCCCACAACACACAGTTTATCACAGTACATCCTCGCGTGATTCGAAAATGTTTTTTTTTTTTTAATTTCTGATTGGAGCAAAAGAGCCGAGGACCCGGATACTGTGAACCAGGAAGTGGAGATAAAAGTACGAGGAGGATTACAGGAAGAGGATGAGAGGAGGATTACAGGAAGAGGATGAGAGGAGGATTACAGGAAGAGGATGAGAGGAGGATTACAGGAAGAGGATGAGAAGAGGATTACAGGAAGAGGATGAGAGGAGGATTACAGGAAGAGGATGAGAGGAGGATTACAGGAAGAGGATGAGAGGAGGATTACAGGAAGAGGATGAGAGGAGGATTACAGGAAGAGGATGAGAGGAGGATTACAGGAAGAGGATGAGAGGAGGATTACAGGAAGAGTATGAGAGGAAGATTACAGGAAGAGGATGAGAGGAGGATTACAGGAAAACGTGTTAGAGAAGGCAGACAGAAACAAAAAGTTCAACGCTTCCTGTGAAGGATATTCGCCCTCTCTGCTCTGCTCTGCCTCCTCACAATCCTATATAAAATTAACACTCGTCACTTCCCCCTCCCTCACCCTCCCCCCCCCTTCCCCCCCCTCCCACACCCCTCCCCCCCCTCCCTCATCACTGAGCTTAAAAAACACACATTAAGCTGGTGCAGAAGCAACCGGGACGTTGTCGAATTAATATCAGCTTAACAACCAGAGCCAGTCGAGCACATAACAGGATGAGAGGAGGAGAGTGGGGGAGGGGGGGTCGGTAAATGGGGGAGGGGTGAGGAGGGGGGTGGGAAGGGGGTTTCTAGGGAGGGAGGGGGTCGGCAGCAAAAGAGGGGGGGAGGGGGAGGGAGTTGGGGTTGGAGGTTGGGGGGGGGGGTGGAGGAGAGAGGTGTCAGGATAAAATTATGAATTCACAGGTATATGCTATAGCCCCTTTAGAGAGCTTAGTGGGGGGGGGAGGGGAAGAGGGAATGAGGGGGGGGGAGGGGAAGGGGAGAGAGAGGGGGGGGGATTATTTTTGTGTGTTTACGGCTTTTGGCATTGTTATTCCATTGTGTGTGTGTGTGTGTGTGTGTGTGTGTGTGTGTGTGTGTGTGTGTGTGTGTGTGTGTGTGTGTGTGTGTGTGTGTGTGTGTACATCTCCGCACTCACTGACACCAGTTGCGTGCATCTCCGCACTCACTGACACCAGTTGCGTGCATCTCCGCACTCCCTGACACCAGTTGCGTGCATCTCCGCACTCCCTGACACCAGTTGCGTGCATCTCCGCACTCACTGACACCAGTTGCGTGCATCTCCGCACTCCCTGACACCAGTTGCGTGCATCTCCGCACTCCCTGACACCAGTTGCGTGCATCTCCGCACTCACTGACACCAGTTGCGTGCATCTCCGCACTCCCTGACACCAGTTGCGTGCATCTCCGCACTCCCTGACACCAGTTGCGTGCATCTCCGCACTCCCTGACACCAGTTGCGTGCATCTCCGCACTCCTTAACACCAGTTGCGTGCATCTCCGCACTCACTGACACCAGTTGCGTGCATTCCAGGCTCGCGGACAGCACCAGTGTAGAGCCCCGATTATAGGATTGTAATCAACCCACTGCAGGAGGCTGGTACAACTGTGGGCCGCTTGGCACAGACAGCAACATCTGCTGAGCTTCCTGCGGCGGTTGGAAGACAGCAACATCAGTGGCAACAGGAGAAGATGGCAGCCATACGGGATGGCAGCCATACACGAGAGGGATGATGGCAGCCATACACGAGAGGGAAGATGGCAGCCATACGGAATGGCAGCCATACACGAGAGGGATGATGGCAGCCATACACGAGAGGGATGATGGCAGCCATACACGAGAGGGATGATGGCAGCCATACACGAGAGGGATGATGGCATCCATACTCGAGAGGGATGATGGCAGCCATACACGAGAGGGATGATGGCAGCCATACACGAGAGGGATGATGGCAGCCATACACGAGAGGGATGATGGCAGCCATACACGAGAGGGATGATGGCAGCCATACACGAGAGGGATGATGGCAGCCATACACGAGAGGGATGATGGCAGCCATACACGAGAGGGATGATGGCAGCCATACACGAGAGGGATGATGGCAGCCATACACGAGAGGGATGATGGCAGCCATACACGAGAGGGATGGCAGCCATATACGCGAGGGATGGCAGCCATACACGAGAGGGATGATGGCAGCCATACACGAGAGGGATGATGGCAGCCATACACGAGAAGGATGATGGCAGCCATACACGAGAGGGATGATGGCAGCCATACACGAGAGGGATGGCAGCCATACACGAGAGGGATGGCAGCCATACACGAGAGGGATGATGGCAGCCATACACAAGAGGGATGATGGCAGCCATACACGAGAGGGATGGCAGCCATACACGAGAGGGATGGCAGCCATACACGAGAGGGATGATGGCAGCCATACACGAGAGGGATGATGGCAGCCATACACGAGAGGAATGGCAGCCATACACGAGAGGGATGATGGCAGCCATACACGAGAGGGATGATGGCAGCCATACACGAGAGGGATGATGTCAGCCATACACGAGAGGGATGATGGCAGCCATACACGAGAGGGATGATGGCAGCCATACACGAGAGGGATGATGGCAGCCATACACGAGAGGGATGATGGCAGCCATACACGAGAGGGATGATGGCAGCCATACACGAGAGGGATGATGGCAGCCATACACGAGAGGGATGGCAGCCATACACGAGAGGGATGGCAGCCATACACAAGAGGGATGGCAGCCGTACAAACACAACCCGTCACATCCAAAGGTTTCCCCAACGTCAAGAAACTGTGGTACTAAAGTGCCCCCTTATCCTCACCTACCAGAGGACCCAAAACAGAAAACGGAGCGGTACGTCAATTTGACCAGCCATTTTCTAATACGGCCAATTTTGGCCCTTAGGTAAAGAGCAATACGTCAAAAATGCGACGTTCTATTAGGAGGACGGGTTGAAGCGACTGTGATTGTCTGTCCCTTCATCAAACAAGAACTCATCAGGGACTGTACACCAGGGACTCTACGTCAGGGACTCTACGCCAGGGACTCTACGTCAAGGACTCTACGCCAGGGACTCTACGTCAAGGACTCTACGACAGGGACTCTACGCCAGGGACTCTACGTCAAGGACTCTACGCCAGGGACTCTACGCCAGGGACTCTACGCCAGGGACTCTACGCCAGGGACTCTACGCCAGGGACTCTACGCCAGGGACTCTACGCCAGGGACTCTACGCCAGGGACTCTACGCCAGGGACTCTACGCCAGGGACTCTACCCCAGGGACTCTACGTCAAGGACGCTGCGTGGAATAAGTATTGGGAATTAACCTAACCTAGGCCTAAATATGAACACTATGCTAGCGTATAATAATATTGATTTATATATATCAGAACATTCCTGTTTATTGAACGAACCTCAGGTTAATATCGACGCTTCTTTTGAGGTCAGCCTCTGGACCATTGCCTGAGGACAGGTTGTTAAAATGATGTGGCGTCGACGCAGAGCTGGTTGGGCAAACTGGCGTCTTCCAGCAGGTGTGTCAGAGGTCGACACTGGCGTCCCCCCCCAGCAGGTGTGTCAGAGGACAACACTGGCGTCCCGCCCCCAGCAGGTGTGTCAGAGGACAACACTGGCGTCCCGCCCCCAGCAGGTGTGTAAGAGGTCACCACTGGCGTCCCCCCCCCAGCAGGTGTGTCAGGTCGACACTGGCGGTCCCCCCAGCAGGTGTGTAAAAGGTCAACACTTGCGTCCCCCCCCAGCAGGTGTGTCAAAGGTCAGCAGGTCCTAAGCAGCAAGACAAGCCTCTTACCCCCTACTCCCCCATTCCCCCCCCCTCCAGGGGCGAGTCCCCCCCAAGGGGACACTAACCCCCCCCCACCCCCCAGCAACCTGCAGCACCGCGCCTCACTCGGGACACTAGGCGCCCCCCAGCCAAACAGAAACCGCCAGACGCGACGTCAGAGAGAAAAACGCGATTCTGGTTGGCCACCTGCAGCGTTTATAAGGGCAAATGGGGCGCTTCCCGAACACTTTAAGCGGGGTTTTTGGTGGCGTCGTTTTGGTCTGGCAGCGCTGCAGTTTCCTTCTGAGGTTCTCTTCTTATATATTAATATTTATTTGAAATATTTGGAAAAACATTTCCATGGTGACTTCATGATAGGCCTATTAGATTTTTTTTTTATAATCTGTGTTATATTATTATTAGGTGTATTATAATGCTAATTTAAATAATAATGATGATTGGTATGAGACAAAAATATTAGTGATAAGAGTGGAAATATTATTATTAATAATAATATATAATATTTGGCACCAGATCTTGACCAGAGTAAAGCCAGAACTGCCAGAGGAGCAAGGTTTACTGACACACACACACGTACACGCACTCAAACGCATACACGCACACACATGGCAAATAGGTACCTGGGAGTTTGACAGCTGCTACAGGCTGCATCCAGGGTTCTGTGTGTGTGTGTGTGTGTGTGTGTGTGTGTGTGTGTGTGTGTGTGTGTGTGTGTGTGTGTGTGTGTGTGTGTGTGTGTGTGTGTGTGTGTGTGTGTGTGTATCCTTCACGCCGGCCCTCAAGGTGTGTGTGTGTGTGTGTGTGTATCCTTCACGCCGGCCCTCAAGGTGTGTGTGTGTGTGTGTGTGTGTGTGTGTGTGTGTGTGTGTGTGTGTGTGTGTGTGTGTGTGTGTGTGTGTGTGTGTGTGTGTGTGTGTGTGAAGATGTGCAGGGTCTTGAGGGGAGAATAGAGGATATTCCTGCACGGGCCTTATGCCTCTGGCTGGCCCACTAAGTGTCACTCCTTTCTCACTTACTGAGGCTGTGGATGAGTGTTTACGGCTCGTGTGTTGCTCCAGTGAGTGAGTGTTTACGGCTCGTGTGTTGCTCCAGTGAGTGAGTGTTTACGGCTCGTGTGTTGCTCCAGTGAGTGAGTGTTTACGGCTCGTGTGTTGCTCCAGTGAGTGAGGTTATGCCATCTTTGGCTACTTCTTTTGTGCTGTTAAGTCCCACTGCAAATCTGATTTGGTTTATAACTCGCCACCGTTTTAGATAATGTTTTTACTTGTTAATGTTGTGTGTGTGTTAATTTACTAATGTGTTAATTTACTTGTTAATGTTAATGTTTTTACTTGTGTGTTTAGCATTTCTCCACAATGTTGACATCTCTCTTCTTCTTCTTCTGGAACGGATAGGCCTATTTCCCGTGCACATGAATATCTAAGTTTGATGTGGTGTAAATGCACTTCTCTCGTTCTATTGTTCCAGGTTATTATAATTAGTGGTTGTAAGTTGGTTGAGTTCTTGTACCACCTCGCAGATGCTGACGCTGTGTTGTGGTCACTGGACATCTTCTGTGTTGCTCTGTCTCTTATTACTGTCTTAATCTATGCCCGACTCTGTCGAAGGTAACTGTCGACATTCCTCCTCCTTAGCTGTAAGGTTCACAGCTATACCACTTGTGGTCAGATACTGTCCCAGAGGTCTTCAGGGAGAGCATCTTCCAAGACTTTTGGAATGGCTAGAATCCCTGTACAGCTGAGCGATCGTTTGAGAGCTTCCACCTGTGCTATACAATATCCAGCCCGGCCTCATCAACAATGGTCAAATGCTCGTTAATGCAATCGCTAAACCTCCTGTTTATGAATGAAAAACGTTTTTTTAACGTGACTGACCTACCTGGCTCGTTACCTGTCCACCTGTCCTTAGGCTAGTTTCAGCCATTCTGCTCTCTCTCTCTCTCTCTCTCTCTCTCTCTCTCTCTCTCTCTCTCTCTCTCTCTCTCTCTCTCTCTCTCATAACAGGCATAACAGACCAGAAGAACATTTTTGTTAACAAGGCTGCCAACGTTAACATATGCTAGACACGGTTGACTCTGGGCTGTGTTGAGGTGTGTGAGTGTGATGCCCAACACAGAGACGAGTTAACAAAGTTTCTCACAGCAATTTGTGACTCATGACTTGGTAATGCTGCTTGATGACGTCGTTATGGCAACTCTGCGTGAGAGAGTGAGAGACTCCTGGCAAACTTTTGTCCTCCATTTGCACAGTGTGGTAAAACTCTCCAATGTTTACTACGCTCTAGCTAATGTTTTATATTAATTTGCATACATATATGAATATATATATATGTATATATATATATATATATATATATATATATATATATATATATATATATATATATATATATATATATGTATTTATTGTATTTATATATTATACATATATATTGTGTATATACATACACATGTACGCGTTCACACACACACACACACGCACGCACACACGCACGCACGCACACACACACACACACACACACACACACACACACACACACACACACACACACACACACACACACTCACACACGTACACACACATGCACACACACACACACACACACACACACACACACACACACACACACACACACACACACACACACACGCACACACACATGCACACACGCACACACACATGCACACACACACACATACACATACATATGCACACGCACACGCACACACACACACACACACACACACTCTCTCTCTCTCTCTCTCTCTCTCTCTCTCTCTCTCTCTCTCTCTCTCTCTCTCTCTCTCTCTCTCTCTTCCTCACTATCTCCCTTTCTCCCAATCTCCCGTCCCTCGGCACCCTCTCTCCCACCCTCCCCACCATTCTCCCTCCACTCTTCCTCAACACCCCCCTTTCTCTCTCTCCCTTTCTCACCACTCTCACCTCTCTCCACATCTCATCTCCCTCTCTTCCAACATTATGCTTCTCTCTCACTATTTCTCTCTATCTCCCTCCTCCCTCTCCCTCCTCCTCTCTTTCCCCATTCTTCTCTCCCTCTTCTCTTTCTGTCTCCTCATTCTTCCCCTCCTCTCTCTCTCTTCCCCCACCCCTCTCTATCTCAGAAAATGTAATATCTAACTAAATTCACATTCGTCATTTTCGAGTAAACCATGAATATGCGTGAACAATTTTTTTTTTATTAACATATTAGGTACATCTGCATTAGTGCAGCTACCCTAGACTATATGAAGTGGAGTACAGTGTGTCAAAAAGAAGCTAACTAGGTGATGCTAAAAAATCCCCATCACACAGGATGGTTAGTCATACAGAGGCATGTGATAAGCGGTCTGCACTGGCAGACTCCGGATGCATTTTGAGGATATCAACAACACAAGATTGAATAAGGTAGCAGTGGTAATACAAGTCCCCATCTCGCAGGATGGTTAGTCATACAGAGCCATGTGTTTAATAGCCTGCACTGGCAAATTTTGGGTATACTGTGAGGATATCTTCAAGAATACGAGAGTGAATAAAGTAATTGCAAAGCTCCAGGTACCTCATGCCAACTGGTCTGAAAGGTCTAATAACTGGGCATTCAGTGATGTAGTGCGGGAGATCATGCCGTAGTTCCTGCTCACAGAGTTTGCAACTGGAGTGCTCAGGATTGAGAGACCCGTCACCTGCAGCCACCTGCCACAGGTAACGGTAACCCAACCTGATCCTTGCAACCACTGTGTCGCACAGTCTAGTGGACGTTTTGTGCTGTCCATAGATGTAGGTTTCAGATCTGAACAAATCATAGCTTTTTATACTAGTACTTTCAGGTCGTTGGGAGTCAGTAAGTTCTTTGCTATCAGATCTGAATGTTTGGATCAATACAGTTTTGACAGCAGAGATGGGGATACCTAGATCTAATTCAACTTTAAACTTGTTACACGCTAATTTGGCTGCAATGTCTGTCTCATTATGATGGGTTATATTTATGTGTGAAGGTATCCATACAAAGGATATTCGAGACCCTTTACTCTGTGCATCAATTAGGTCATTTATAATTGGGAGTATGAGGTTCTTGCTGTCGATGCGTGAATAAATGGCAGGAGTAATCATCAGAACTCTAGGGAAAGCTCACCCACGGTTTCATTTCACACCTCGTAAAAATCGCAGGGGATCTTTATAGATAACGATATTTCTGAAAGAATGACACCTGGACCGACCCCCCCCCATAACTGGCCTATGATACTCCCATACCCATCATGTGCCATGGTTGAAAGTTGGATGAAGCTTTCCCAAAGAGTCTGGACTCGTCTTTTGGCCAGACAAAAAAATAAACATTTGATTGTATAGACATAGATGTAGACTAGGCTAATAACGAAGAATGTATATTTTTGTATAAAATATTAATAATTTATGTAGAACGTGAGTAACTATGATTTTACTTGGAAATATACATTTTTTTCACTGAATATGACCAAAAATATTAAACGTTGAATTAAGTAAAACAAAGTCAATA